TAAAAATAAAACACATACAAGTTGAAGAACACATGAATAAATCTGAAAGGGTCTAATCCTTGGTCTAATGAAGCAAATGTGACCCATGAGGAGGCAAAAGATAAAATAGTTCTTTGGACAAAAATTTTAATGAAGCTCTTAAAATTATAAGATCATGTGGAAGCATTAAAAAACAGTCAGGGGTGACTTCTATTCTAGCCAATTAAACAGAGATACTGCAAATACCCAGGTCACTCCCTCCTACAATCCGTCTCTCTATCCCCCATCTCCTTCTCTTTTGAGCAGGTGGGCACCCCCTGGGTATCCCCCTACTCTGGCATATCAAGTCTTTGCAGGCGTAGATGCATCCTCTCCCACTGAGGCTAGGCAAGGCAGCCCAGCTAAAAGAACATATCCCAAGAACAGGCCTTTGGGAGAGCCCCCGCTACAGTTTTCCAGGATCCATATGAAGACCAACTGCACATCTGCTACATATGTGCAGGAAAGCCTAGATCCAGTAAACATATGCTCTTTGGTTAGTGGTTCAATCTCTGAGAGCCCCAAGGGTCCAGGTTAGTTGACTCTGTTGGTCTTATTGTAGAGCTCCAATTCCATCAGGGGCCATAATCCTTCTCCCAACTCTTCCATAAGGGGGAGTCTGCAAGTGCCATCCACTGATTGTCTGCATCTGTCTAAGTCAGCTGTTGGAAGGAGCCTCTCAGAGAACAGCCATGCAAGACTCCTGTCTGCAAGCATAACAGAGTATCACTAATAGTGTCAGGGATTAGTGCTTGCCCACGGGATGGGTCTCAAGTTGAGCCAATTATTGGTTGGCCAATCCTTCAGTCTATGCTCCATCCCCCGTCATAAGATGGGATCTTTTAACCAGGATAGCAAATAGACTGTTGGTGAGCCAACATGGGTTTAGCCAATACTTAGGTAAAGCAGTATGTGCTAAGGAAACCACAAAGCAAACTGAGAAAAATTGAGCAGAAAGATATAGCGATATATGAAGAAGTAATATATGCATACAGTTTGGAAGCAAAATAAGGTCTCTGTTATGAAGCAAATGCAAAAGTCAAATTCTTTTCCCTAATATAAAAGAGAACATTTTTTTGGAGCAAGATAGGAGAAGTGTTGACCATGCTTTCCAGAATATCTAGATGAAGAGCAATAAAGAGATAGCAATAAAGAGATAGCAACAAGTCAGGGGCCATTGTGTTTAAGATCTAAAAACAGTAAGATCCCATCTTTTACCCAAAGTGTGGGGGGGAGACAGAGAGACAGAGACAGAGAGAGAGAGAGAGAGAGAGAGAGAGAGGGAGGGAGGGAGGGAGGGAGGGAGGGAGGGAGAGAGAGAGAGAGAGAGAGAGAGAGAGAGAGAGAGAGAGAGAGACAGATACATAAAAATTAGAGGGGAAAAAGTTTAATGTTTAAAGAGAAAACACTTACTTGGTTCAAAATATAAGCCTATAGAAGTCCCATGAGAAGAATAAACAAAGAAAATGCTAGAAAAATTACTTATTTGTAAGAGTTCTGGTCAACAGGTGAGGTTTTAACTAGAGTGTTGTTGAATTACTGCAGTGAGAACCAACTGGAAGTGCTTCTGAGGAAAACCTAGACACAATGCAGAGCCAGAGCACAGGAGAGAAGAGAGAAGTAAGATATCAAAATAAGGGGGATGTTCAACCCTATTTACCTAAGAAGTTTAGTGGGGGAAGCTGGCACTATTTGGGCTACTGACAAGCATAAGTGTTACCTCCTACCCTCATGATGTAATTCTTGTGATAAAATTAAAGAGAATTTTGTAAGTAAAAGTATGTAAGTAAAATCAGGCTCTATATGATGTTTATGAATAACCAAAGTACTGGTTTATTTAACATTTGATGATTTTTATAGCATTTTAAAAGGGAGCACTACATCATCATTTCTGTGATTGGCCATATGAAAGGAAGGAGGGTTTGTTCTACTGTCAATGCGTCACTTAGGAGAGATTACTCAAAAATTCAACACATACACTGCTTCTCTCAGCCAGGAAATCCAGGTTATTTACAACTTATGAAAAGCCATTACAGAATACTGTATAAATCTGAACATCACATTCATGCTGATAACATATCAGTTTCAGCTCTGAATTGTTTTATCAATTCCACTTGAGAGAAACTATATACAAAATAGGATATTGAGATACTTATCATATTGCCTTTTAAACTGTTAAGAGAAGCCATTTCCTTTATATTGCCTTTGGCCTTTACAATTGCATTTCCTTTTCCTTATATAGTACCTTCATGCCCTTTGGCATAATTGCAAATGTCATTTTGCATGGTTGGAGTACCCTTGCATTTGCAGAATGTGGCAATTAATGGCTTTTTAAAACTCATTCTATCTCAAAAGACCTTTTCCTTTGGTTATGATATTGAACTCTCATAGCAATTTGCTTTTTACACAGCTCGTGATCACACACACGTACCATATTTGTATGTATATGTTAATCTAGCTTGTACACTTCTGTGTTCTAGATGAGTTACCATACTTGGAATTATCTTTTTCTTTTCTTTCTTTCTTTCTTTCTCTCTCTCTCTCTCTCTCTCTCTCTCTCTCTCTCTCTCTCTCTCTCTCTCCCTCGCCCCCCCCCCCCCCCCCCCCCCCCCCCCCCCCTCTCTCTTTCTTTCTTTCTTTCTTTCTTTCTTTCTTTCTTTCTTTCTTTCTTTCTTTCTTTCTTTTTCTGGCAGGGGATGGTGAGAAGGAAAGGCCTGAGCTTTTTCTAGAAAACATGGTACTCTTGAATTTATTTGGCTAAGATATATATGCCCAGAAAATAAGTTCATTTTATCATTACTGATAGCCATGTACAACACAAATTTACCATATCTGAGTAATATAAATATATAATTCAGTACAATTATGTTTGGTTAAATCTTGTATCATTTTCAGTTAATAGAATCTCAACTACTAGTGCTTTTCACCTGTCAGTTCACAGTATAGAATGGCTTTTCAACAGGAGATACATATTTCACATTTTAATATGGTGTTCCACAATAATAAATCTGATAAAATTGAACAAAGAGAGCCAGGTATGGCGGCTCACACCTACAATTTCAGGAGTTGGAAGACAGGGCCAAAAATACTGAGCTAATTTGAGGTCAGCCTGGGTTGCAGACAGTGTCCCAGGGCAACCTGGCTAACAAACTGAGATCCTGTCTTTTAAAAAGAAATAAAAATGCACAGAGAAATAGTTTAGTGTTTTTCTGCTTTAATAACACTTCAGATGATTTTCTTTGATGACAGGATCATTAGCCTTGAGAAGTTTAAAGCAAACCATTCTTTTATTATAAGTTATACATTAAAAAAGTTCCCAGGACCTCAGACTGTTTCAATCACCTTAAAAGTTAAAAGTAATCAGATAATTTTTAAAAATACAAATCAGACAATTGAGGATTTCTTAGGCCCACCAGCTTCTTCAGTCATAGAGCCATGTGGATAATCTGTCTTGACAACTGATACTCTTCACACTTCTCCAGGGGAAGCTGTACTCCTTGTCACCCTTTCCTTTCACACTAGCAGCAAGCTACCACAGCAATATGGCATACAATGTATATAGTGTACACGGACCGTAGTATATGCACATTATACATGATGCATTAAAATATATCTATTACCCTTTGCTTAAAGAGGATGTCCTAGAATGGCAGATCTAATAAAATGATACTGCTTAATTTTAATAAACATAGGTTGGGTGACTACATTTTTGCTCATTACTGCAAAATTTCAGGTTTAAACAAAAGTTGCAAGTCCGTTTTTATGTTTATAATTACATTGCAGGATGAAAAATAGAGAAGAAAATACAGGCACGCCATCTTGCTCCATGGTGTAAATTACTATACATCATACACATCCATGATCCTTTTACATATGATTCCATGATGCAGTTATGATCATATGATTTACATATGATTCCATGATGAATGATACAGTTAAGAGCCAGGCTACACAATGTACACAGTTATTATAAAAAGTTATGTATTATGCTTCAGTACTAAAAATAAAATATATTCTCAAATAGTGAAAATAAGATATCCTTCATGTTTTTATGTCACATTTCCTGCTTGACCCTGCCCTCCCTTAATAAAATGATGTCCAACACTGTATTAAACAGTGACAGCATGTGGGCGATTGCTTGATGATAACTGGCCTAAAACAAAACTGATTATCTTGTCAATTTGTTGAATTGTCTAATGCATGATAAAATATAAAAATAAAAGACAAAATAAACAGTTTACATACTGAAAAATCAAAGTCAGTCGGTACCATATTACAAATATGGTCTGGATTAATTAGTTGCTACATCTTGAACAGATGCAGCCACTAAACCATCCATCATAGTACCCCTTCCCCAATAAAATTGTGAGCCATCAACTGTAACTATTTGCTTGGCCAGGAAGACACCAAAGGATTTTCTGGGTCCTTCTCAAGGGATCCCCTCACAGCCAAGCGCTGCTTCCACAGACCCGCATGCAGCAGTCACTGGTCGCGGTTCAGAGCTAAAGGCTCTTCACCATTATGTCCTGGGAGACTGTGACCCGTCCACGCAGGAGAGCAAGGAATGGACTTGCTCTCTTTCGAAACCTTTTAACCTTAAAGCAAGCCACTGGTCTCTAGACACACCAAATGGTTTACGCATTCTTTTGGATTGGAGAAGCAGGCACTTACAGTGAACACAAGGGGAGGTATGGCAGAGGGCGGGGACCACTGTTCAAGAAGAGTTAGGGGGCTAGTCCAAAGCTGTTGCCCCGCCGAGCTGCCAAGCCTTGAGCCCGAAGAAACATAGAATAACACAGATTCCCCGGGAAGCGAGAGGGAGGGGAACTGACCCCGACCCAGGAGCGGGGCTCCAGGTTGTGCAGGGATGCTAGGTGTGGTCAGAGGCAGTCAGTGGCGGCCTCCAACACACCAGCTGTTGCGTGCCGTACGCAGCCCCCAACCTTGTACTGTCCGGGCGGTCCCCGTGAGGCTCCCTGCGCTCAGATGAGCGGGAAACGGCCCTGGCCGCCGTCGGTGTCCCCGGCACTGCCGCCTCGCGGGCAACCGAGCACCGACACGGGCAACACGACCTCAGCAGGGCTGAGCTGCTGCAGCCGCATGGACTCCTCATAGGTGGGCAGGTACTTGACCTCCTCGTAGCTGGGCAGCTGGAGAAAGGCCGGTGACACCACGCGCAGCTCGTGCTCCGAAACGCAGGAGGGAGGCAGGCGTCCGCCACCTCCTCGGCCCCGACCACCGCCACTGTCCAGCAGTGAGTCCTGCGAGCCCGCGGCCACCTCGTCCCGCAGCAGAGCGGGCGAGTCGTCGTCGTCGTCGTCGGGTGGCCCCGCGGTCCCAGGCGGTCCAGCACCCCCGGGAGGCCCCGGTCGTGCCTGACCAGGTCGCGCCTGGCCACGCGGGTACCTGCGTGGGCTGGGGCAGATGATACGCTGCAGGAAGTAGCCGATGGCGAAGAGCACCAGGAGGATGAGCAGCCCAGAGAGCTTGCGGACGAACCAGCCCACGTTGTCCAGGAAGGCGTGGAGCGGCAGCTTGCAGCAGCGCACGGCCGTGGCGTTGGCCGAGTCGCAGCAGCGCTCCCGCTCACCGCACGCCAGCTCCGCGCAGCCCCCGCCGCCCCGCGAGGGCGCCACCAAAGCCAGCGCCAGCAACAGTAGCAGCGGCAGCAGCGGCGGTGGCGCTGGAGCCACTGACAGGCCCTCGGCGGTGACCCCTGGACCCCACATGGCCGGCGCAGATCTCCGCCGGCGTCCGGGACCGCGAGGCTCGGAGCTCCGTCTGGCCCGAGCGCTGCGATGGGTCGCGCGCGCGCCGCCTCCCGCGCCCCGGCTACCTGCGGCCCGAGCGGTGCTCACTTGGCCACACTGGGGCGGGAGGAGGAGCCCGGGGCGCGCCGAGGCTGCGGGAGGCAGCTGCTGCTCACCGCTGTGGCCGCCTCGGGAGCCCGTGACCTGGAGCCGGAGCGCCTGGGAGCCAGGGTCCCCAGCGAAGCGTGCGGAGCCGCGAGGATGAACAGAGCCAGCCTGCGCTGGGTCTCTCTGGGCATCTCGGCCGGCCGACCTCTTCTTCCGGCACCTGGGTACCCCGCGGCGCTGGAAGGGTTAAGGCTGAGCTCTCAGCCCCGGAGCCCCTTGATCTTGATTAATTCAGCCGGCGCGCTCTTCCCCGCCAGACGGGCGGGGCGCGCTCTCTCACTAGCGTAGGTGTCTCAGTTTTAAGTGATTGGATATCCCCGGGAATATTATTTAAATTGACTCGGACCGGGTTCCGCTTACCATCTTTCTTGTGATCTTTCTGATTAAAAATGGATGATGGCCCTTAATGGCCAGTGCAGCCCCGTTGCTGCCCTAAGGTTCCAGGGTGGGAACTGCTGGATAGTTCGGCTGACAGGTAGGTCCAGGTTGTTGGGGAGCCGGGACCCTAAGAAACTCCAGAACAGGTAAGAATTCTTTGGAGAGGCTCAAGTTACAGCCACAGAAGTAACCCCAGAGGGACAGAGAAGCACTCTGCTGAGGTGACCCTGCTCACCAAGGAGAGGAGAGAAGACCCTTATTTCTCAGAGGCTCACCCGACCCAGCCCTTTGCTTTCCAGTGCTCAAAGAGGACAGCAGAGTTGTGGGGTGCAGGGGCTCCCTCCTTCAGCATAAATAGCCTATCTGCGATGGTGGAGGGGAGCGGTAAGCGGTTGGCAACGTTCCTGAGCCCGATCTGAAGGTCTTTTTCAAGGTTATTCATGTTTGCAAAATCTGACTTTAAAGGAAACAAGTACTGTGTTTCCACTTAGTGCTTGGGTCAGTTTACCTTCGTGTCACCAAACCCCGGAGAAAGGCTCAGTGTATCCAGACCCTTTGGGCACATCTGCGGGTGGTGGAGCCCCTGAGAAAGACACTTTGGCTGAGGCAGTATAACACACACACACACACACACACAGTTACACAGAAAGACTCACTGAAGAGAAAAATTAATAGGGAAATTTCAAGGCTGGTGTGAGAAAATAAGTAAAAACCGAAGGACATACGGTGTCCGAGCAGACTCAGCTATGACCCAAGCTTTCTCTCCTGAATAGAGAAGTAGACCAAGCAGAACAGGATGGGTAGGGGTGGTGTTGACGGAGATGGACCATGGCCTAAATGAAAAGTCTTCTAATACTTCTTTTGGTGAGAACACCTTGCTTTGCTTGAACTTCAAAAGGATGCTTTCTCTTCTAGGAGAAGTGTCTGTGAAACTTCCTTAAGCACAGGCATTTACTACATTCTTGTGAAGCCAAAGCATCCTCTGGCTACGATCTGTGGGGAGAACTGAGGCCTAGTCCATAAAGCTTCCAAGCTATAGCCAGACAGGGGGATGGAAGATACTTACTTTGATACAGTGTCGGTAGTATTATTTTCTGTTTCCCCATTCTTTTGCTGGATGTACATTGAGAATGTATACTGAGTATGTTCTGTATTTGGGGAACCCTGCTAATTGATTATAAATAAATAATAGCCTCCAAAGAGTGGAGTGACCCAAGTTCTGCATACCAGTTTCAACCTATCAGAGAGAACAAATGCCAAATGTCTTCCTTCTTCATAACTTGACCAAAGCAAAGATAAAATTGACATGTTTAATAGTCTCAGACTAAGGGAAGTCCATGGCTTGAGATGGACTGGAAGTTCAAGATGAGAGAAATGCAAGAATCTCCTTGGGCTTTTAGAATCAGGGATTAAAAAAAAAATCCCTTGGGGATTTCTGGCAGTCCTAGCAGAAGCAATGGCAGAAGGAAAGGGGATGGGGTGGGGTGTGTGTGTGTGTGTGGGGCTCTGTGATTGATGAAAGAGGAGGATGGCCTGCTTGGTGGTGTTTTGAAATTTGAATAAAAAGAATTAAAAATTTAAATTACATTTTATATATTTATTGGGGGGTATATAATCTTCTTCTCCCATAAAAGTCCCAGGAATCAAACTCACATCTCTGGCCTTGGCAGTGGACACTTTTACAGTTCAAGTCGTCTCACAGGTTCCTAAACAACAGCATTTAACCTGCTTCGTTTCTGTCTTCTTTTAATGAGTTAGAATTTTTTAAGACACAGAGAACACAGGCCTGGTATAAAATAAAACACGGAGAAGCCTTGCTTCCAAGAAAGCGAAGGATGGGCTCTGGAAACTGAGTAGAGAGTGGAGTCTTTATTTTTGCTTTCCAAACCGAAAGTCCCAAAGTGTCGTATCTTAGACCGCTCTGCAGAAACTCCTGATTCCCAGGGCCCTTCATTTCACCTAATCCATCTTTATTTTCAGAGTAATGTATTGTGTAAAGCTTTTTGAAGAAAAGAAAAGCAATCTGAACACATACAAAGCCTCACAGGAATGTATTCATTCCTCAGATCCTTTTGTTTATACCTAACTTACAAATGAATAGAGCAGGAAGATAGAAGGTAATTACATGTTTCATAGGAAAAAGAGTACATTTTGTTAAAATGTGCAGTAGATTTTGTTAATAAGTATACCAGAGGGGGGGAAAGGATAGTGAAAGGTGACTGATTTTAATCCAAAAACTCATGGTTTGTTGGAATACAGTTTGGTAAAAATTAAGAACATTATGGGCTAAGGAGATGACTCAGTTGGTAAAATTATTGCTGTGAAAGCAGAAGGAGCTTGGTTTGGATCTCTGGCGGCCATTTAAGAAGCTGGATGTGTCAGCACATGTCTGAGGAGGTGAAGAAAGCCAGGTCCTGCAAGCATGCTAGGATTAGCTCTAGGTTTAGCAAGAGACTAAAAAAATAAGGTGGTTATCGATTAAGGAAGACACTGGATATCAACCTCTGGTTTAGGCATGCACACATACACTTACATATATATTCATTCTCTCTCTCTCTCTCTCACACACACACACACACACACACACACACACACACACACACACTTAAATTAAGAACATGAGCTGAGCTGGTCATAGTGGCATATGTGTTCCTGGAAGCTGTTCTGACAGCTTGAGCTAAACCAAGTGTATCCATCATGAATCCATCATGCATGGCACATCATACTAGAACAGAAGGTCATTTCCTCTCTCATGTGTGCTGCCCATGGGTTCTTGCCTTCAGGCCTGAGATACAACAACCCTAACCTTCTCATATGCCTTCTTCAAAAGGTCTAGGCATGGGCAGTTTGGAACATGAAAACAATCGGACTGTAAGAAGTTCTTGGGGTGTGCAGCATGGTCCTTCCTATTGATATTCTATTACTATAATTGATTTATTAAACACCCTCCTTTTGTGGCTTCCCTTCACTTGTAACAAGTCTTCCCTGAGTAACAGTTAAGGGGTTTGTGTATATTTGCATGAATGTGCCTTCCTAGAAATGACTTGTGACTTGAGATAATCTGCTTGGGTTTGTTTGGATTTTTAATATCATATTTCTCCCCTTCCTCCTTCAATAAATATTTGATAGGCCCTTATCTGAGTTAAGTACTCAGTCCCACTCTGGAGATGTTATGAAATCAAGCCTTTCTCTGTCCTCTGGGAGCTCACTGAGAGGGGTTAGGATGCAACAGAAAAACAGTCAAAATAATGAAATGATAGCCCATCGATGAATGCTTATGATGGAAAAGTTCAGTACGCTCAAAGGCTTTACCATGGCCTGCCATGGGAATGACATTGGCTTAGAAGACCTTTCTAGAAAAGATCTCTGTAAAACAGAACTAAAAGCAGGAGGCAAGAATCTTCTAGGCAAAGTAAACTTTATAATGATAAGTCTCCAGGGTAGCAAGATCCTTCATCTGTCATCTCTAGAGTTTGGAAAAAGCACTGTTGCTTCTACTGCAAGATTTGCTGCTATAGACAGGTTTTAAGTAACTAAAGCCACCCCTACAGTCACACAGTCTCAAATCCAACTTTCTTCCATCCCTAGGTCTAGGTGGTGATGGTTATCTTTAGTCCCCTTAGACACCAGGAAAGATATCGCACAGTTTCCTGTTCTTCCGGTCTTCCTGCCCTTGACTGGAGTATAATTCAGATTTCCTCTTCAACATTATGAACTCCCGACTAGCCAGCAAAAGGCTTCTTCATGCTACATGCTAGGAGAAAAATGGAAGTAAGATATCCTGACTTCTGTTTAACTTATGTGCAAAAGGAAATGGAGAACTTGCCCCAGGATGGGAGTTAGAAACCAAAGGTTGAAAATTACAGGCCCTTATGAACATAAGGGTCTCACTCTGTAGCCACAAGTTGGCCTTGAATTCACATTTGTATTTGCTTTTGCAGTTTCTCAAAGAGCTTTCATGAACACTATTTTGTTTTTCTCTTCATTCAATGTCTATAAGATAGGTAGCTTACTATTATCCTGTTACAAGCCAATATTTGTTAAAACACCTGATTTGGGCTGGAGATGTAGCTCACTGGGAGAATACTTGCTTAGCATGTGCAAGGTCCAGGATTCAGTCCCTAGAACCAGAGACAGACAGATGGACAGACCTCCACCTGAATCATGGAATAAATTAGGGATAGCACTGAAAGTAGACCTAAGGCCTATCAATCAGTCTCTCTCGAAGGGCTAAGTGGGCAGCTTACCTCCTATTGGGTTGGACTAGTGCAGGGAGGGGCATTATTCTTCACTTTGACAGCTCCTGGAGCGTGGTAAATGATAAGACTAATGAGGAAAGTGGGCATGGTGCCCTTTAATCCCAGCACTTGGGAGGCAGGGGCAGGTGGATCTCTTGAGTTCAAGGCCAGCCTGATCTACAGAGCAAGTTGTAC